GGCCTGGGACTTGGGCCATCCTCTGCTGCTTCTTTAGCCATGTGATCAGGAAAACTGGATCAGAAGTGGAGCAATTGGGATTCAAACCATTATCAGTATGGGATGCCAGTGCTGCATATGGTGGTTTAACTCCCTATACTGCAGCGGTGGCCCCTGAATGCCTGGTTTAAGTTAGTTAAGTCTCTGTATTTTGCCTTTGAAATAAATGTGTATGTGTGTGTTTTGTAAATGAATTTAACCATGTGAAGCCTGGCACCAATGCTCTTCATGGTTAGAAACTAAATTTTTATTCTATCACAGCACCTACATTTGTCTCTGCCATGCCACCCCTTCCAATGCACTCCTGCATTTCCATGGAGATCAAAAAGAACCCCAAAACTATGGAGGTCAAAAATAGGTGTTTGAATGGGAGTGTCTCCCCACTCCATGCCTCTGCCTTCCTCTCCCCTTCCATCTCCTGGCGCCTATAATCACCAGGCGGTCTGGGGCTAAGTGGTAGTTTTGCCCATGATGGGGGGGCTTGGAAACCACACCCATCTCCCTGGAACTCTCCTGGCCGCTCCCGCTCCCAGCAGCATCCCAGTTTCCTCCACAGTTGAGATGGGTCTCAAAGGGGCTTGGTGTTTCCGCTGGTGTGGGTGCTGGAGACAGCGAGGGACTGAAAGAGGAGCAGGTATGGAGGCAGATGGAGCCGACTGAGGGGGAAAGCGGGCTGTCAGGCAGCTAGCCAGGTGCATGGGGAAGAAAGACAAATGCCCAGGCCGGCGAAGGGAGAGGGGCATCTGCGTCCCTGGGTGGAACTGGCTACATACTCCACAGGGTGTGGTGCAAGATGAAAGACAGGTGACTGCACCAAACCTGGGGCCCCTTGTGGGGGGAGCCCTTGTGAGCAGGGACCCCGGGCAGCTGCACAGGTCCCACCTGAGCCCATGAAGCCAGCCCCTCCTCACATCCTTGCTCATAGCAGCAGCTCCTCACCAAATTCAGATCCATCCCCCTCACTGAGGCACCTTACCCAGCTTCCTTCCCTCTGCACTCTGGCTGGGGAGGGGGTGGTGAACCCTGACCCACACACCGTCCCCCTCTTGCTCTCATTTTCAGGCCTGGATGTCATGGCCCTTCCAGCTCCCAGCCCAGCTGCAGCCCCTGGTGTGACGGCTGAGGGCGGGCAACTCTCCCTGGGGGAAGGGGCCTACTTCAGCCGGAAAGCCCGCCTCTCCTTCCGCCACCAGCTGCATGACATGGCATCCGCCAATGACTCCACCATCTGAAGAGGGCAACTGGGACCTCAACTTTTCTTTCCCCGGGTTTCTGAGTAGTGGATCCCATTAAATGTGTTCAGAATGGCCAAGCATTGTGTGTTTGGTGGAGGGTTGGGGGGAGGTAAGAGGAGATGGAGCCAAGGCACTAGGACTGGATCATGGGGTATGAGATAACAAATCAGGCTGCTCGAATGCAATGTCCACGCGTGGCTGGTGGGATAGCAAGATGGCTAGAACCAAACTGCAGCAGTGATGTGGGAGAGCAGTCTGAGGAGCCGGGGAGGTGTGCAGGACAGCAGTGGGGACCTGGGACGGGGGGTGCACTAGGGAGACAGGGAGATGTACAGGACAGTGACAGGGGACGGAGCGGTGATTTAAAAGGCATATTCAATCAATACACCTTGAGTGTCTGTTCCTTGCCGGGCATGGAAGGTGCAGAAATGAAGTAGGAAGAAACAAACCTTGCTTCTCATGGAGCTGACTTAGCAATAGAGGAGGTAGGCAGAAGTAAACAAGCGTTAAGATCCTGCAAATCCTACTAGAAGGAAAATTGCGCCACCATCCCATATTCGTGTCCCCTGGTTGCTCCATTTCTGAATCAGCTCCCTGCTAATCTGCCTAGGAAAAGCAGCAGAGGAGGGCACAAGTGCTTGAGCCCCTACACCCAGGTGGGAGACTCAGAGGAAGCTCCTGGCCCAGGCTTTGGCCTGGCTCAGCCCTGACTATTGTGGTCACTTGGAGGGTGAACTCAGCAAATAGATCCGTGTCCCTCTTCCTCTTCTGTAACTCTTTCAGGTAAAGAATCAAACAAGCAAATAAGTAAGTGAACCTTAAAAGAAAAGGGCGGGGGGGGGGAGAAGAAAATTATACAGAGTAATTCAGGAGTGGGCTGGAGGAAGAGAAGGTAATTCTTGTATCAATGGCCAGCACAGGCCTTTCTGTTGAAGGGACATTGGAGCCAATAGCTACACTGCTGTGTGAAGACAGGAATGATGAGCTAGTCCAAGTTCACCAACTCCAACAAGAGTGCTTCTCTGATCCAGCATGCTGGCTGGCTGTGCAGAAGGGCAGGGACTACATGGGATATCCATGCCGTCTTCTCCATTTTGCTGTAAATATCAAACTGCTCTAATAATACTACTTAAAAACAAACGGGGGCGGATGGGCATAGTGGCCTAGCAGGTAAAATCCTTGCCTGAACATGCTGGGATCCCATATGGGCGCTGGTTCTAATCCCAGCAGCTCCGCTTCCCATCCAGTTCCCTGCTTGTGGCCTGGGAAAGCGGCCGAGGACGTCCTAAAGCCTTGGGACCCTGCACTCACACGAGAGACCCACAAGAGCTCCTGGCTCCTGTCTTCAGATCAGCTCAGTTTTGGCCATTGTGGCCACTTGGGGAGTGAATCGGACAGATCTTCCTCTCTGTATATCTGCCTTTCCAATAAAAATAAGTAAATATTTAAAAAACAAAATCAAACAGGGCCCAGTGTGGTAGCCTAGTGGCTAAAGTCCTTACCTTGCACACGCTGGGATCCCAAATGGGTGCTGGTTCATGTTCTAGCTGCTGTACTTCCCTTCCAGCTCTGTATTTTCTTCTCTTTGTTAGTTTGATCTTACAACATAAATAAATCTTAAAGCCAAAAAACAAAAAGCAAAGCAATTGGAGCCTGCATAGAACAAGTGAAAATCTCAGAGGATCCAGCCAATGAGACAGAAGGCTCCAGTGTGGAGGTTAGGGACACGATCAGGTGTTCCAAACCCAAGTACACAGCCAAACTACTCTAGGTGTGACAGTAAGCTGAGAGGATGGGGAGCAGGGACTGAAATCCATCTCACATGGACAGAGCTGACCACGGGTGCTGCATGGGGGAAAGCACTGGGGAGGGGCCAGAGTGGACACAGCCAGGTCATCAGGGGGTTGCCGCTGTCCTCCAGGCAAGGGACAATGTGACCAGGACTGCAATGGGGAGAGGCAAATGGGCTGCAAAAGGCGCTGAGAACTCCTTCATACAGCGAGGGTGGAAATGGAAGGCAGAGAAGCATCGAAGCTGATTACTTCAGAGGGAGGGCTGCAGAACAGGTTCTGGCATGAAAATCAAAGGTTCTGAGGTCAGTGTTGTAGCCTAGTGGCTAAAGTTCTTGCCTTGCAGGCACCTGGGATTCCATAGGGGGAACTGCTTCGTATCTGGATGCTCCACTTCCCTTCCAACTCCCTGCTTGTGGCCTGGGAAAACAATAGAGGATGGCCCAAAGCCTTGAGACCTTGCACCCACGTTGGAGACCCAGAAGGAACACCTGGCTCCTGGGTTTGGATCAGCCCAGCTCTGGTCACGACAGCCACTTGGGGAGTGAATCAGCAGATGGAATATCTTTCTGTTTCTCTTTCTGTAAATTTGACTTTCCAATAAAAATAAATAAGTAAATCTTTAAAAAAAAAAAAAAAAAAAAGACAAGCAAAGGTTCAGGTTTCAGTGATGGCTTTAGTTGTTGGTTCCACATGGGAGACCCAGCCTGGGATCCTGGCTTCTACAATAATCCTGGACCAGCCCAGGCTACTGCGGGCTGAGGAAAGCTTGGGCCCCTTGCCACTCATTTGGGAGACCCACAATTAGCTCCTGGCATCAGCCCTGCACAGCCCCAGGCTGTTGTGGCCACGTGGGGAGTGAACCAGCCAATAGAGGATGTCTCTGTAACTCCTTCAAATAAATACAATAAATGTTACAGACATTTCATGCCAGGAAGCAATTTACTGCAGAACAAGGTTTGCAGATGTAGCTCCCAGTTTCCCAACCCAGCAGCCGATTGTCATGGTCACTGAGCAGCACGGCCTCTGTCAGGAGCCTGGCTGCGGGTCCATTTCTCAGTGGCCAGGGAAATGGTGGCTTTCAGAGCTGGCTGAGAGTACTGCCAGGAGCTATTCTCTTCCAGCCAGTATCGCCCTGAGACTGCAGACAAGGCCCAGCAATCCCAAAAGCCATGGAAGTCACAGTGCTGCTGACCACAAAACGAGGTGCCAGAGATTAGACAGACCATGAGGCTGGGTCAGAAGACTCCTCTGGGCTGGCACAGAGGCTCAACGGATTAATTCTCCACCTGTAAGAGCAGCATCCCATATGAGTATTGGTTTGGTTTGTGTCCTGGCTGTTGCACTTCCTTTCCAGCTCCCTGCCTGTGTCCTGGGAAAGCAGTGGAGGATGACGCAGTCCCAGTCTAGAGATCTTGTACCCACGTGGGAGACCCCCAAGGAGCTCCTGGCTCCTGGCTTTGGATCAGCTCAGCTCCAGCTGTTGTGATCATTTGGGGAATGAGTCAGCAGATGGGAGATCTTTCTCTTTGTAAATCTGTCTTTGTAAATCAATCAATCTCAAAAAAAAAAAAAAAAATTCTCTGGGCCTCAGAGTCAGTGGGCACCCATGCTGACTAGCAAGAAGCCAGCTTAGGAAAGGTGTCTACAGTCCCAGAGTTCTGAGTTCCACATTGGGCATAATAGGGAAGGGGGGCTGTTGGTACCACTGTCTGGTAGTTGGGGATCTGGTTATGGCAGGAGGTGGGCGCACATGGTCTGGAGGAAGAATTTTGAAGAGCACTCACACAAAGATGCAGCGAGGAGGGCGCATTCACAAACCCCCTTCCACCTTCCCTCCAACTCTCTTTGAGCTCAGTGCAGGGGTTTCGCCCAACGGGTGTGTGTCGGACGGGGTCAGGCTCAAGGTCAAACAAAGAATGCCAAAGCACAAACATTCTCTTTGACAAACTGTTTATTAAATGTTATTGGTGTGGCATGTCTCCTGCATTTTAGAGTCCTAGGGTTCAGGGGGGTGGTAAGGTGGCAATGGTGAATTTGGGTATCTGGTCTCCCAAAAGCACCTGCCGTTCTACCCCGGATTCTGTGATGGCTGCCAGGCGGATGACCCCACCGCTGGAGCCGTCCCGCTCCATGGCCAATGCAAGAGCTGGGAAACAGGAGAAAGTTCAGTTTAGAGAGGCAGGACTTGGGATCATGACCTGGGGCTGGGGGGGTGGGGAAGGCCACCTTAGCTTGGGAAGGAGCATGGCAGCTCCCAGAAGGCCAAGGACTCACCATTGGCAGTGAACTGCAGACACTCTTCCTTGGTCATGCCTTCCCGGTAGGTGGCATCCACATAGCCATAGATGTATGAACTCCCGGAGCCTCCGATAGCAAATGACTGCCTCACCATCATGCCGCCCATGGGCACCGAGTACACCTGCCAGACGGAGTACAGACAGTCGCTTTGCTCACCAGCTATTCTCCCAGGCCCTTAACATGTGTCCCACCTTGGGACTAGTCTGGGGAGGCGCAGGACCAAACAAGGCATGGCTCCAGGGTCTGACCTGCCCGCCTTCCTGAGGGTCCCAGCCTGCAATGATGATACCAGCCATAAGATCTTCCCGGTATCTGTAACACATCTCCTTGAAGAGGCTGGCCGCTGTGTGCACCAGGGGAGGCTCATTGAGTTCAATGCTGAGAAGGCAGAGGCCACGGACAAAACAGCGTCAGAACCCGGGAGCCGGCCATTTCCGCTCCCCTCAAACCGCCCACCAGAGCACCTGTGGAAACCAAGCTGGTAGGTGACTGCGTCTGCAACTGCCTGGGTATCGGCCGCGGAGCCGGAGCGGCAGCAGAAAATGTGGTCGTGAATTGGGGTCAACTTGTCAGTCACCCGGTTGGCGATGTAGGACCTGTCGAAAGCCGACAGGACAGTGAGAGGGAAGTCCCCACCTGCCTCCCACTCCAGCCAGGAAATCCAGGGTGGCCTCTCGGTTCTCAGCTCAACTCAAGCCGGCTGGAGAACAGGTCTTTAACGGAAAGATTTCACCAAAAGCCCAGAACAGGAAGCCATGGAGGCCGGGACAAAGCCTTATTTGCAGGGAGGGAAGCCCCCCATCCCCAGCAGGGTCGGCCTGGGCCAAGGCTGGGCGGGCAGTCAGGGCAGGGCAGGGGTCTTTAACACGTGTGTCCTGCGCTCACCCTGTGGTTGTTCTGGAGTCAGCCCCCAACACCACGCCCCCGTCAAACTGCACAGCCATGATCGTGGTCTGGGGAGGGGGAGACGGGAGAGGGTCAGCCCGCCCACCATTCCCTGCACACACACAGATACATACACACACACACACACACCACACCACACCACACATGTGGCCTGGGGGAGGGGATACGGGTGAGGGTCAGCCCGCCCACCACTCCCTGCACACACACAGATACATACACACACACACACCATACCACACCACACATGTGGTCTGGGGGAGGGGATACGGGAGAGGGTCAGCCCGCCCACCATTCCCTGCTCACACATACATACACACACAGAGAGACACACAGACACCCTCTTCAAGTCTCACAGACTCCCCGAATCGCAGCCCTTAAACCCCGACAGCTTCTCAAGATTCCACAACGTCGGGCTGCAGCCCACCCTCCGCCTCCCGCTCCCCTCCGCCTGCCTCAGCCCTCCAAGCCCGACCCGGGCTGTACCCTCCCTGCCCCGCGCAGGCACACCGCCTGAACCGCGACCCCTTCCTCACCCCGGTGGAGACTTCCCGGTTTTCCCAGTCCGGGGTGAGGGCCTCAGGCCCCCAGGCCGGAGCCGGGGCCGCGCGGCGAGCACCTAACACGGCGGCCGCCATCTTCCTCCCCCAGTGCTGCCACAAAGCACCTTGTCGTAAAGCGCTCTGTCACGGTCTTCCGTCGCGCTGAGCACTGCGCGGGGAGGAGCCACGCCGCGGTTGACGGCAGAAGGGAAACGCAGAGCGTACGGGGCGGATCTTTTGCGACAGTTGAGCGTTTGGGGGCAGTGTGGCAAGCGACAGAGACCCAGGAGCCCTGTGGCTCAGGCTGTGCTGGTCTGTCTGGGTGGCGTTGCTGTTGGAAAGAACAGAGAAACCTGATGCAGTATCTTACGTTCCTGACAGCCACGCTGGAGAGAACAGGGCCTCCATATCCTCACCAGTACTCAGTGTGTGTGTTAAATATAGACAGTCTGATGGGTGTTAAACCTTATCTTGGGGTTTTGATTTGCATCCAGGTGCTGATTTGCCATTTAAATATTTTCTCTGAAACAAGGTCTACTCAAGCTGTTTTGTAAATTGTTTAATTTGAAAGGCAGAGAGGGGAGGAGAGAGAAAGAGGGAGAGAGTTTTTCTTTCTTCTTTTCTTTTTCTTTTTCTTTCTTTTTTTTCCCCCAGAAACCAAACAGATCCTTAATCGGCTGGTTGGCTCCACAGATGGCTCAAAAGCCTTGCCTGGCCCAGTTGTAAGCCAGGACCTTCTTCCGGCTCTCCCATGTGGGAACAGGATCTCAAGCACTTGGACCACCTTCTGCTGTTTTCCCAGGCACCTAAGCAGGGAGCCGGATTGAGAGTGGAACAGCCGGGTTTTGAATTCACACCAGCATTGCATGATATGTCAGTGTTACAGAGAGAAGCTTAGCCTGAAACACCACAATACTGGCCCCTGCTTCTCATTTCCTAAGAGGGAACTACTTGTCTACTTGGAGAAAAAATCATCCTGGACAGAGGGATCAGCAAGTTGCAAAGGCTCTGAGAAAGAAGCCTGCCTGCTGGTCAGTGAGAATTAGCTTGATGAGTGAGAGTAACAGTGAATGTTTAAGCTTTATGCCAGGGGCAACGCGGTGGCGTAGCAAGCTAAGCCTCTGTTTTCAGTACCAGCATCACACATGGGCAACAGTTCAGGTCCCAGCTCCTCCACTTCCCATCTAGCTCCCTGCTAATGTGCCTGGGAAAGCAGTGGAAGATGGCCTAACTCCTTGGGCCCTGTGCCTATGTGGAAGATCTGAAAGAAGCTTTTGACTGCTGGCTCCTACCTGTTCCAGCCTGGCCATTGTGGTCAGTTGAGGACTGAACCAGCGGAGAGAGGATCTCACTGTCTCTCCTTTCTTTTTTTTTTAAGATTTATTTATTTTTATTGGAAAGTCAGATATACAGATAGGAGGAGAGAGGAAGATCTTCCATCCGATGATTCATTCTCTAAGCAGCCACAAAGGCTGGAGCTGAGCCAATTCAAAGCCAGGAGCCAGGAGCCTCTTCCGGGTGTCCCACGCAGGTGCAGGGTCCCAAAGCGTCCTCGAGACTGCTTTCCCAAGCCACAAATGGGGAGCCGGAAGGGAAGCAGGGCTGCCAGGATTAGAACCGGCGCCCATATGGGATCCTGGTGTTCAAGGCGAGGACTTTAGCCACTAGGCCATGGTGCCGGGCACGACCCAAATTTCCTACATAAACTGCACACGTTTTTATTCTGAATGCCATGGGGGAGTTATTGGAAGATCTTACATGATATGATCTACATTAAAAACATTTTTTTTTTTTTAAATTGGGACCCTGCATGATGAGTCAGTGGCTAAATCCTTGCCTTGCACATACCAGGATCCCATATGGTTGCTGGTTCATATCCCTGCTGTTCCACTTCCCATCTAGCTCCCTGCCTCTGGCCTAGAAAAGCAGCAGAGGATGGCTCAAAGCCTTGGGAGAATCAGAGGAAGCTCCTGCCTCCTGGTTTTGGATTAGCTCATCTCTGGCCGTTGGGGCCGCTTGGGGAGTGAATCAGAGGATGAAAGATCTTTCTGTCTCTCCTTCTCTCTGTAAATCTGACTTTATAATGAAAATAAAGATTTTAAAAAAATTTATTTGTTTGCATTTCCTTTTATTAACTCCCATGGAAACATTATACAATCACCATAGAGACAGTCACTCTGAAACCTGCCCTCCTGGGCTTTTGGCCAGCAGTGCCAGGGGCCAGCGTGGTCCCTGGGGCCTTCTTCATCCTGTTCTTGTGCTCCTCTTCCTGTTTCTGTCAGGGAATTTTCTTCCCCGCACAGGCCATGCCTTGCAAGCATATGCTCGGGTTTGTTTTCCTAGCATAATTCCAGGCATCATTTACCATGCCAAAGCCCATTGCCTTGCCACCACCAAAATGAGTTCTGAAGCCAGTCCAAAGGTGACATGCAGTGGTCTTACATATTCGGGCTGGTTGTTTTCCCCCACATTTCTGCCTTTGGCACAATTGCTTTCCCAGGGTGGAGAACCCCAGGAACGTTCGTTTCCTCTGAAGTCGCCCGTTAGTCAACAGCTTCCTGGTCTGAATAGTGACTGTGTTATTCATAATGGCAAGTGACTCTCATACAGCCAAGAAGTTAAAATAGTTTTTTTTTTTTTTTAAGATTTATTTTTATTGGAAAGTCAGATTTACAGAGTGAAGGAGATACAGAGAGAAAGATCTTTAATCTGCTGGTTCACTGCCCAATTGGCCACAACAGCTAGAGCTGAGCTAATCCAAAGCCAGGAGCCAGAAGCCTCTTCTGAGTTGCCTACGTGAGTGCAGGGTCCCAAGGGTTTGGGCGATCCTCTACTTCTTTCCCAGGCCACAAGTAGGGAGCTGGAAGGAAAGTGGAGTAGCCTGAGCATGAACCGGTTCCCTTATGGGATCCTGGGCATGCAAAGCAAGCACTTTATGCACTAGGCTACCATGCTGGGCCTGAAAAATAGTTTTAATATTTGTAAAGATTTACTGATTTCAGGCCCAGCATAATAGCATAATAGCATAGTGAACACGCCGGGAATATGGGCGCTGGTTCTAATCCCGGTGTCCCTGCTTCCCATCCAGTTCCCTGCTTGTGGCTTGGGAAGGCAATTGAGGCTAGCCCGGTGCCTTGGATCCTACACTCACATGGGAGACCTGGAGGGGGCTCCTGGCTTTGGATCAGCTCAGCTCCGGCCGTTGCGGTTACTTGGGGAGTGAATCATCAGATGGAAGATCTTCCTCTCTGTCTCTCCTCCTCTCTGTATATTTGCCTTTCCAATAAAAATAAATAAATATATAAAAGATTTATTGTTTTGTTTGAAAAGCAGAGTGAGAGAGAGAATATTCCATCTGCTGGCTTACCCACCAGATGGCCACAACAACCAGGGCTGGGTCAGACTGAAGCCACAAGTTTCTTCAAGTTCTCTCACATGTGTAGCAGGCCCCAAGCACTTGAGCCACTTTTTCTTTTTTGATATTATTTTAAACATAGTTTACATAGTTGAGAGGGATCCATGCCCATGTTGGCTTCTGACTAGGGCATGGAAGGTCGTGCATAGAGGAAGGTAGGTGGACACACATTTCAGTCCTTTTAAAATTTTCTCCCGTGTTGGCAATGGAGGAGGGGGAGAGCGCAATCGTTTTGTTTTCTTCTTACAAGCTCAGCTTTGGACATGCTGCATTGACTGTGTCGAGTGGACATCCAGGTGGAAATGCCATATGGGCCTCTGAAGGCTGCTGTAATGTGGAAGAATGGGCCGGAGCTGGCTTTTGGGAGTTCGTGGAGGAGGTGGCCAAGCGCTGTGCTGCGCACCATTGTGGGAGTGGCAGAGGAAGTGGTCCAGCCATGGCGCGTCTGCTGCGCGGCAGGCCACGGGGTGGGTAAGGATGTGCAGCAGGGCAGAGGGTGCCATTCACTCCCGGAGGAGATGCTGGGCTGGGGCAGAGCTGCCAGGACCACGTAGAGGGCGGGAGGGCAGGGCTGGGGACTTGGCATGGAGTTGGTCAACAAAAGCCAGAGGAAGGCTAGGATAGGCTGGGCGCGAGTCTATCAGCTACCGGGAAAGGGAGTACTTATTTGTTCACGTTTCCTCTTAAGTTTCCGTGAACGCCCGCAGCCATCAGACAAAACACCTTTTAAGACGGTGGCTGCCAATTAATCCTTTTTATTCCTCACTGCTACCCCGACCTTCCTGAGACGGCCGAGAATCACGCCCACTTGGGGGAGGGGGAGCTGGACCATCACGGAAGGGGCAGGTGCAGCGGCCGCTGTCCTGGGACGCACAGAACCGGCCCGAGGGCTCTCGGTCCCCCGCCAGACTCCATCTCAGCAGTCTTCAGGCCAACAGCAGCAGACCGTGCTCGGCCAGCAGGCCCTGGGTGCGGTTGTAGACATCCTCCAGGGTCCTGGCGGCTCGGACCAGCGCGGCCCGCGCCTCTGCCTCTCCAGCCCCGGGACAGGCCAGTTCGAGCAAACGGCCACGACCCGGGAGGGCGAGGAACGCGAGGCGGGCAGCCTGACGGATGAGCCAAGGGTGGTGAGGGGCCAGGGCTGTGCCATAGGCATCACCGCACTGCGCCCCCGCGTCCGGGCCTCCCTGCGTGCCGGTGGCCACGCGGTGGAGACAGAGCTGGGACCAGCGCAGCGCGCGGTGCAGCAGGAGCAGCGTTTGCAAGCCCGAGGCTCCGGACGAATCTCGGGGTGCCGTCCCCCGCCTCTCCAGCACTCCCGCCTGCTGCTCCCAAGCCGCCATGGCCACCAGCGACGTGTAATGCGCAGCGTCCCGGCCGTGTACCTGAGCTTCCAGGGCTGTCACCTTGCTGATGGCTTCGCTCGTGGCGAAGGCGAAGACGGAGCCGAGGGGAGTTAGGAGCCTGTGTGTGAAGGTTCGAGGGGGAAGACGGAGGTGAAGGAGCGGTTCTGATGAGGACTGAGAGAGGCGGGGCTGGCTGGAGGGCTGGAGACCGCTCACCTGAGCAGTGCCCTCCAGCCAGCCAAGTACTGCGACAAGACCACGTCCCCTTCGAGGTTCAGACTGGCACGGAACGGTTGCATCATGCGCCCCAGCATCCCATCAGGGCCCAGACACGGAGGATGCTCCTGCTCCGGGGCCACCTGGAGTCCTGACTCTCGCGGGATCTGGGAGACAGACAGGAGGGCAAGGGGGCGGAGGCCCCAGTGTGCAAGGCCTGCTTGCTTGACATTAGGACCCGCGGGGCGTTAGTGTGCTAGCTTCCGACTGGAAGTGGGTGGGTCAGAGGGGAGACTCTTCAGCCTGGCTCCAGGGTTTGAGGGCCTTACCTGGCGCTCCCAGCCCCTCTCTACCTGGGAAGGCAGCGGTCCCTTCGGAATGCTGTAAGGGACCTCAAGTCTGCAGCCTGGGAGGACAGCTGGGTAGAGAGGAAGCCATCAGTTGGTGAGGACTGGAGATGAGGACTTGGATCCCAAGGGCTTGTGCGCCTGGGTCCTCCCCCTCCCCGCCGCCCACCCGCCCACCCACCGCCAGCAGGTGAGGAAAGAAGCCACTCACTGGATATCCGAGCACCAAAGTAAAGCAACAGCAGTGCAAAGGCGAGAGGGATGGCACAGCGGGACCAGCGCCGGACATCAGGAGGTGGCAACACGAGCCCCATGGCTGTTGACTGGGATCACCGCTCGCTCACCAGCCCTTACTCCCCTACTCAGTCTGTGTTCCTCTAGGAGGGGAGAGAATCCCGCTGTGCATGGAGGTGCAAAGAGTTAAAAATTAATCTACCAAGGTCCCCTCCCCTGTGCCCTTTGCCTTAGGGGCAGCCACCCCGAGGAAGGGAAGGGGGATTTGGAGGATTTAGCAGCAAGCACAGCCTCTACATTTCCCTTCCCGGTGCTTGTAAGTGCAGCCTAGGGTGCTGGGAAGAGCCAACTCCCCCATGGAGCAGTGGCGTGGGCCGTAAATTAACTCAGGGTTTGAAGTCTCCCCCACTGTAAATTGAGGATAATAGTAGGGATTTTGCAAGCCTTGTGTGAGGATTAAATGATAATGCATGTAAGAACTCCAGAAATGGGAGAGCTGACCACAGGTGCCCCATAAATCTTACTAACAGAAGCTGGTGGGGTGCCCTCTGGCATCCAGGGGAAACTCACTTTTAAAAATTTGACTCCCAGGGACGTTGTCTGAATAACACACTTTGGGCTTTAACCTTCTATATGCTTATACATTGTTACAAATTTTATTTAATTTGAGGGGCCCAGCACCATAGCATAATGGTTAAGGTCCTCGCCTTGAATGTGCCGCCAGGATCCCATATGGTTATCGGTTCTAATCCTGGCAGCTTCACTTCCCATCCAGCTCCCTGCTTGTGGCCTGGGAAAGCTGTCCGAGGACTGCTGGGGTCCGTGTGATGGATGTGGAAGACAGGAAGGTGTGAAGAGTATCGTTCTATTGCAGGCAAGGCCGCAAGGAACTTCCTGCTGCGTGGCAAGGCCCGGCAGATGTCTCTACAACACCTGAATGCAGCTCTCCCTCCCTTTGCATGGACACCGGACAACCCCATTGAGATTTCTGTAATCTATTTAGGCATTGTCTGCCTCTGCGGAGTTACTGTTAAATATCAATGGGAGCTTAGAAGCTGATGTTGCTGTTACCGTTTTTTTTAGCCAAAAAGCTGTTATTGGGCCCGGCACGGTGGTGCAGTGGTTAAGGTCCTCGCCTTGCACGCCCGGGATCCCATATGGGCGCCAGTTCTATCCTGGCAGCCCCGCTTCCCTTCCAGCTCCCTGACTGTGCCCGGGAAAGCAGTCGAGGACGGCCCAAAGCTTTGGGACCCTGCACCCGCGTGGGAGACCCGGAAGAGGCTCCTGGCTTCGGATCGGCACAGTACTGGCCGTTGCGCTCACTTGGGGAGTTAATCATTGGACGGAAGATCTTCCTCTCTGTCTCTCCTCTCTGTATATCCGCCTTTCCAATAAAAATAAAATAAATCTTTAAAAAAAAAAAAAGCTGTTATTACTGTTACGGCTGCATTCTGTGGCAATATGCTAATCAAGGGTGTTCTGTCTTCAGGTGCAGTAGGAATCTATTCTTTCCCTCTTTTTTTGATCTTTTAGGTCCCTCCTGTGAAGTCCTTCCTTCCTTGACTGTCTCAAGACCAAGCTGTAAAGTAATTGTGGTAGGAATGTGTTACTGATTGATATGCACCATCTATTGAGAACTTTTTCCTAGCCAGGTGCCAGGCGCCAGGTGGATAACACCCTACCCTTAGGCAGAATTATCTTTAGAAACACCCACTTGACCATGACGTAAAAAGTCTGAGCCAGAGTTTGATTCTGTATAAATAAAGCGGACAGCTTTCTCACATTGTCCATTATGATGAAATCCTAGTGGTTCGTCTTTCTTTCCTTTTTGCACCTCATCACACACGCTTCGCGAGTTTCGAACTCAGCTGGAGCTGGACTCTGGCAGAGGATGGCCCAGAGCCTTGGGATCCTGCACCCCTGTGGGAGACCCAGAAAGTTCCTGGCTCCTGGCTTTGGATTGGCTCAGCTCCAGCCGTTGCGGTCACTTGGGTAGTGAATCATTGGATGTAAGATCTTCCTCTCTGTCTCTCCTCTCTGTACATCTGCCTCTCTAATAAAATAAATAAATCTTTTTTTAAAAAAGTTTATTTTATTTGAAAGAGCCATGGGTGGGAGGAGCTGAGTGAGAGAGCCAGAGACCTTCCAGCCACTGGCTCGCTCCTTAGAATCCAGCAACAGCCAGGTCTGGGCTGAGCTAGGCTGAAGCTGGGAATTCTGGGTTTGTCCACATGCGTGGCAGGGTCCCAAGGATTCAGGCCAGCTTCTGCCTCCCAGGTCCCTCAGCACGGAGCTGAATCTGAAGGGGGCAGCTAGGACTGCAACGTGCGCCTCAACTGTTGGTCCCCACTCCCCTTAATTGTTGTGATTGGATTTTTTTCACACTCCAAATTGGCTCCTGAATCATTCACTGACTCGATCTTGCCTGCCTGTCAGCACCAGTACTAGACCCTGGAGAACACCAAATGCGAGGAGGGATTTGTCAGGCGTCTCCTCTGCTGGAATGGAGCTCTGGGGAAGGTGGGGGCCCTGTGTTTCTGGGTTGATTGCAACACTTCGAATGTTGCCTGGACCAAAACGCATGATTGCTAAGCTGAGGAAACAAGGGAATGTGTTTGACACGGAAAGTTAGAACATGTTTGGCCAGATTGGGGCTGGCTTTGTCCACTGGGAGTGTACCTGCTGCTCAGGGGTACAAAGGCGTCCTGAGGGAAGGACACGCGGGTACAGAAACTAGGACATTTGTCCTTAGGCGTTCCCAGCCCCTGTCATGGGACCACTTAACTTTGCTCTTGTCTCTCTATGTGCACGTGGCATCCTGGATCCTCCATCTCTAAGACCTTTCCCAGTTGCTGCAGTTGACCCATGTTCCCCTGAGGGTACCTCACATCCTGCAGGTCCCTGGGTTCCTCCTCAATAATCCTGTCCCTGGTACTATGCCCCTGCCCCCAAGATCTCTTCCATCCATCATCCCAGTCTCCTCTCCCACTTCTGAAACGTTTCCCTACTTCCTGGCTGTGACCTTAAGGCAAGATTTTTTTTTTTTTTAAGATTATTGATTTGAAAGGCAGAACAACAGAGAGAAGAGAGAATCTTCTATCCACTGGTTCCTTCCCCAGAGAAGTATAACAGCTAGGTCTGGGTTGTTGTGGGGTACAAGCAAGATCATGCAAAATGAGTTTAGGATATATTAAGGAGTTTTTATTAATTAAACTCACGGATAACAGAGTCTACTAGAAATTAGCAAATGACAAGTCCAGGGGCAATCCAGTCTGAATTAAAACCCTGAAAGGAACAAATGGTCATTGCCCTGATGTCCATCTGATAAAATGAAGACCAATGTTACCCCAAGACCCATACAGTAACAACCTGGACACACTCACAAAGCTGCAGATATTCACCTCTTCCTGGCTTCTCTGTCCACATTCCATTGCTGCTGGGCCTCACCTCTCCTGGAACTCTTCAAAGTAAACAAATTAGAAATACAAAGCATCTTAGCATATCTTCACTGACTCACTCAAGCAGTGAACAGAGCCTGAGGAATACAGATGTATAGGGGCCATGCTCAAGGGCTGCCTGTCCGTGGAATCTGTCCATGGGAAGCCAGAGAGCAAGCAGGTCCTGGGGAGGCCAAGAGTCCCAGTCCCAGTGTGAGGGAAGCATGCAACCAAGAGAGCGAGCCCCTCCCTATGCTGGGCCTTGTGGGGCTTGTGAGAGGAGTGGTTACAGAACAACACAACACTGCCCCCTCAGGTTCCAGGTGATGATAGCTAACTCCCAGGTGGGCAGAAAGGACCACATAGGTGGGGATGTGTGACTTGCAAGTTCATGACCCTGAACTAGCTGCCTAAGGCCACAACATGGGCCTGGCCAAGGCCGGCTAACTCCATCTTAATCTCCCACAAGGGTGCAGAGGGCCTAGCACTTGGACCATCCTCCCCTGCCCTCCCAGGTACATTAGCTGGGAGCTGGATGGAAAGTAAGAGTAGGCAGGACCAGGCTGGTTAACTCACTATGCCACAATGTCCCTTATCTACAAAGTAGGAAGGGTAATTCTCACCTTAGTGTCTTGTGAGGGTTAAAGCAAACACAGCTGCAGGAAAGTGCTACCCCTAATCCCCAGGCTCCAGGAAGCTCTCACGGTCCTCCTTCCCTGGCTTTGGGAACCTGCAGGGTTCATCAAGCATTAGTTTCAGATGTTATTTAATTCCTACAGTTTCTTCCGTAACCAGAGCCCCAGTGGGGACAAAGGAGTTGGTAAACTTGCCTAGTCAGCCCAGCTCACAGACGTCATTTGCTGTGCGATGGAGCAGGGCACTGGGTGTAGGCTGCTGCTGCTGCTGCTGCTGCTGTGGGGGGCAGGCTGCAGGCCTTCCTGCGCAGGCCAGCTGAGCGACTACACCACGGTCATCCAAGTGACCAACGGGGGCCCCTGGGGCGACTGGGCCTGGCCTGACATGTGTCCCGATGGATACTTCACCAACGGCTTCTCGCTCAAGGTAGGGGCTCAGGACTACCCAGTCCTGCGGGAGTGGGGTTTGGGGGACAGTGTCCTGACTCCCTACAACCCCCCTCTCCCGGTGATACAGGTGGAGCCCTCCCAAGGTGTCCCAGGGGACGACACAGCACTGAATGGAGTCCGGTTGCATTGCACGCGGGGGAACGCTGAACTCAACACGCATGTGGTGGAGTCCCAGTCTGGCAGGTGGGGGCCCGCAGGGACTGCGGAGCCTCCAGGGTGGTGGTGGTGTTTCCTGAGCCTCTCTTCCACACACCCCTCCCAGCAAGCAGGAGATTCTGCATCAGCTGCTTGGCCAAGCCACAAGGTCTGGGGCGGCCTGCAGGTGGGTAGGGCGCGCCCCCACAGCCAGCACGGCCCTCCTTCCCTTGCAGGTGGGGCGCCTGGAGCGAGCCGCTGTGGTGTCCTGGCGGCACTTTCCTGGTGGCTTTCTCACTTCGCGTGGAGAAGTCCATGACTCTTGGCGACAACACGGCGGCCAACAACGTGCGCTTCCGCTGCTCAGACGGCACGGAGCTGGAGGGCCCTGGACACAGCTGGGGCGTCTTCGGAGACTGGAGCGACTCCTGCCCCAAAGGCGTGTGCGGCCTGCAGACCAAGGTGGAGCGGCCCCGGGGCCTGCGCGACGACACGGCGCTGAACGACCTGCGCCTCTTCTGCTGCCGCAACTGACAGCAGCAGCAGCAGCAGCAGCGCTCCGGGGCCGCGGGGCAACCCCACCCGCCGCTGGGACAGCAGCCCCGGGTCGATCCCGTTAGTTCCACAGATGACAAGGTTTGCAGCGCCCTTTTCCTGAAAACTCATGGCTGCACGGCCCGCTGCTGAAAAATCATAGGTCTATTATATGGAAAAACATAGTTCAATATGCAGTTTTTCTTAAAAAGCAGAGTTAAGAATCTGGCTTTTTATTTTTGAAGAACCTAACGATTTGGTCTTTTTTTTTTTTTTTAAAGAATGTATTGGGCTCGATGTTGTGGGGACAATGTGGTAAGTTGGAAAACTTCTGCCACATTAGGGGGTGACAAGGCTATAATGGCTTGAGGTCTTCATTTTCTAGGGTGTAAGAGGCTGATGCAGCTTTTCCAGAGTTTTCTCCCTCCTTCCTCTCCTTAAAAAAATCCAAACGGTCACTTTTTTTAAAAAAAGTATTTCCGGGCCCGGCGCGGTGGCGCAAGTGGTTAAAGGTCCTTGCATACCCGGGATCCCATATGGGCGCCGGTTCTAATCCCGGCAGCCCCGCTTCCCTTCCAGCTCCCTGTCTGTGGCCTGGGAAAGCAGTCGAGGACGACCCAGAGCTTTGGGACCTGCACCCTCTTGGGAGACTCGGAAGAGGCTCCTGGCTTCGATCGGCATAGCACTGGCCGTTGTGCTCACTTGGGGAGTGAATCATCGGATGGAAGATCTTGCTGTCTCTCCTCTCTGTATATCCGCCTTTCCAATAAAAAAATAATAAAAATAAATCTTTTTAAAAAAAGTATTTCCTTCCTCCCCATTTATTGATTTCATTTGAAAGGCAGAGGTAGAGGAAGACAGACAGGGAGAGATCTTATACGGGTTTGTGGGTAGGACCGGAAGTGGAGCTGCTGGGATCTGAACACGCCGATATGGGATGTTAGGGCCACAGGTGGAGACTTTCCTTTTAAAAGTTTGGTTTTTATTGGAAAGTCAGCTATACAGAGAGGAAAGACAGAGAGGAAGAGCTTCCATTTGCAGATTCACTCCTCAAGTGGCCACAATGGCCAATCCGAAGCCAGGAGTCAGGAGCTTCTTCCGGGTCTCCCACATGAGTGTAGGGTCCCCAGGCCTTGGGTCAACCTTTACTGTTCTCCCATGCCACAAGCAGGGAGCTGGATGGGAAGCGGAACAGCCAGGACTCGAACCGGCACCTATATGGGATCCCGGGGCGTGTTCAAGGCGAGGACTTTAGCTGCTAGGCCATGCTGCCGGGCCCAAGCTTATTATTCTTACTATTTGTAAGGCAACATTACATTGAGAGAAGACAGATCTTCCATCCACTGATTGACTCCCCAAGTGGCTGTAATGACTGGAGTTAAACCAATCCAAAGCCAGAAGCCAGGAGCTTCCTCCAGGTCTCCCATGTGGGTGCAGGGATCCAAGGACTTGAGCTTTCTTCTGCTGCTTTCCCAGGCCATAAGCAGGGACATCAACAGGTGCTCCTATGGAATGCTGGCACCACAGGTGGAAGCTTGGCGTGCTACACCAAACGCTGGCCCCACGGGGCCCTTAGCCCTGCTGTTGTTTTGGCCTGGGTATTCAGTCCATCCACCTGACGGTGACTCAGATTTCACAATCACACACACACATATACAAAACAGCTCCATCAGTCAAGACCTATCTCATCACCAAGGTGGCTTTTGGTTGAGCAGTTATTTATTTAAACAATTATGGAGTGGGAAGGGGAAGAGAAAGAGATCTTCCATCTGCTGATTCACTTCCTAGGTAGCTGCAACAACTGAGGTTGGGCCAGGCTCAAGCCAGCAGCTTTTTCTGGGGCTGCCACCTGGATGGGGCCCAAGAATTTGGGCCATTTGCCACTGCTTTTTCCAGGCCATTTGCAGGGAACTGGATCAGAAATGAAGCAACTGGGACTTGAACTGGCACCCATATGGGATGCTGGCACACCTAGCAGGTGTTGGGTTGTTTGTTTGTTTTGAAGATTTATTTCTTTTTATTGCAAAGTCAGATATACAGAGAGGAGGAGAGACAGAGAGGAAGATCTTCCGTCCGATGATTCACTCTAAAGTGACCACAGTGGCCAGTGTTGCGCTGATCCAAAAGAAGCCAGGAGCTTCCTTCAGGTCTCCCACGCGGGTGCAGGGTCCCAAGGCTTTGGGCCGGCCTTGGCTGGCTTCCCAGGCCACAAACAGGGAGCTGGATGGGAGGCGGGGCTGCCGGGATTAGGACCGGCGCCCACATGGGATCCCGGGGCGTTCAAGGCGAGGATTTCAGCCGCTAGGCCACAGCACCAGGCCCACAGGTGTTGGGTTTATCAGCTATGGCAACATGTCCCCAACCAATGTGTGTGTTTGTGTGTGTTTAAATGCCTGATTAAAATAACCTTTTATCTCTTTTAAAAATTGCTCATCTTGGGGTCCAACTTAGTAGCACATCAGACTAATCCAGTGCCCCGTGGTGCCAGCATTCCATGAGTGCCGGTTCATGTCCTAGCAGCTCTACTTCCCACCCATCCAGCTCCTTGCCTGTGGCCTGGGAAAGCAGTCCAGGATGGCCCAAAGCCTTGGGACCCTGTGTGGGAGACCCAGAGGAAGCTTCTAGCTCCCAGATTCAGTTGGGTTCAGCTCTGGTCATTACAGCCGTTTGGGGGAGTGAACCAGAAGATAGAAGATCATCTCTCTCTATCTCACCTTCGCTGTCTGTAAAATCTGCCTTTCCAATAAAAAAAATTAAAAAAAAAAAAAAGGGACTCATTTTCCACCCCTGGAATTCAATCTTTGACAGAAGTCGTCGGTCTCGTTTACTCAGGTATTTCCAGCATAACCTGTTGTTCATCAGCTATTTCCTAATAACTCTCCCTTTCTGCCTTTTTGTTAAATAAAAATCAGCCTCACAAAGAAGGGCCAACATTGTGGCACAGCGGGGTAAGCCACCTAAGACACGGCGATGCTGTGGAGTACCAGCTGGAATCTGGTTACTCGCTTTAGATCCAGCTGTCTGCCACTGCACCTGGGAAAGCAGCTGGCGATGGCCGAGGTGCTGGGCTCTCCCACCTCCCGGGGAGACCGGGATGGAGTTCCAGGCTCCTGGCTTCGCACCCAGTGCAGGGCTGGTTCTTGGGACCATGTGGGGATGGAAAACTCTCCCTGCACCCTGTCAAATAAATACAATAAATACTTTCTTCAGAGATGTATGCATTTAACATTGGAAAGGCAGAAAGAGAAGGAGACACTTCCATCTGCTGATTTACTTCTCAAACGGCTGCCGGAGCTGATCAGGAGGCAGGAGCTCCTTCAGGGTCCCCCGTGGGGTACAGGGTCCCAAGGTTTTGAGCTGTCCCCCAATGCTTTCCCAGGGCACAAGCAGGGGCTGAATGGGAAATGGAGCAGCCAGGACAGGAACCAGCAAACATGGGATGCTGGCACTTGCAGGTGGAAGATCAGCTTGTTGAACCACCGTGCCGGCTTCCCCAAAACAATACATCTTAAACACATAAAATAACCAGCGCGTGGCGGGAATCTCGAGTCCCAGTGTGTCCAGACACTGGTTCTCTCACGGCACAAACGGGGATGACGGCGAGGATAGCTGAAAGTAGTTTATTCCACAGGCGGGGCGTTGGCGGGGTCGGGCGGGGGGCATCCAGGAGCCGGCGGGACGAGGCGACCCTCCAGGGATCCTCAATGGACCTCGCGCTGCGGAACAGACAGCGTTACCGACGGCGGCGCGCCCCGCACCCCACGGGGCCTGGGGGACGCACCGCACCCCGCACCGCACCCCACGGGGCCTGGGGGCGCCCCGCACCCCACGGGGCCTGGGGGACGCACCGCACCCCGCACCGCACCCCACGGGGCCTGGGGGACGCCCCGCATCCCACACCGCACCCCACGGGGCCTGGGGGACGCCCCGCATCCCGCACCCCACGGGGCCTAGGGGGGCATCCCGCACCCCACGGGGCCTGGGGGCGCCCCGCAGCCGCCCCTCACCTTCCTGCAGTCTCCACAGAAGACGCCCAGCACGGCGTTCACCAGCTGGATCCCGCAGAGCACGAGCTCCAGGCACGAGGCGGCCACCAGCAGGGAGAAGAGCGTCACGTTCCAGGGCACGATGCGCGGCGGCGCCTCGCACAGCTCCCACAGCGTGTCGTTGACCAGGTAACTGCCCCTGGTCGGGAGGAGGCGGTGAGGCGGCAGACGACGCCCGCGCCCCGCGCCCCGCGCCCCGCGCCCCGCGCCCCGCGCCCCGCGCCCCGCGCCCCGCGCCCCGCGCCCCGCGCCCCGCGCCAGCCTCACCCGCTGTCGAGGAAGTGGTAGTCCCACTTGTCGCCTATTAAACAGTTGGGTCCGTTTCGGAGCGCGGTGCCCGACACGCCGATGCAGTAGCTCGCGCCCAGCACCCCAACGGCTGAGCAGAAGATGGAATTCAGCATCTGGAAGAGATGGGCAAGAGGCGGCGGGGAGTGGCGCCCCCTGGCGGATGCACCGCGCCTCGCGGGAGTCGGGTTAAAAATACATTTCCCGTCAAGCACCGGGTTGGGAGTCGGGGTTGATCCTGAGACGTGGGCCGCAAAGTATCATGGGTGTTGTAGTTTTCTCTGGTCGGACTCTGCAGAGGCCCAGAGGTTTGAGTGTGAGGGATGGACGGGTGGGATGGAAGTGTGAGACGGGAGCCTGCTGGAGGGAGAACTCCGCAGAGGGAATTCTGCAGCTGCTACTGCGAACGCACAGACCTGAGGCCTGGGTTCCTCGTTCATTTGGACTCTTACCCTGCAGCGATTGCCACAGCAGCCTGCTCCGCAGCAGCCCTTGCCTCCTGCGCGAACAGCTGAAATTCCCGGACATAGGATCTGTGGGACAAGAGTCGGAGTGATAGCCGCGCCTCCAGAGTCTCACAGCTTTACCTGCACTAGAGCTGACTCCAGGAAGCAACCCGAGATCCCCTCAGCCCTTTGGACTGCAGGAAGACCTTATCGCTCCTTCCCCCCAGTTCTGTTGAGCTCCACTTCAATTTATCGTAATTCATATGCTCCCCTTATCGCTGTGCCGATTGCAGCTGCTGGAGGGTAGGGTCCAGTATCATTACAGTTTCTACAAGTCTT